ATGATGATGATGATGATGATGATGGTGGTGGTGGTGGTGGTGGTGGTGGTGGTGGTGGTGATGATGATGATGATGCTGATGATGATGATGATGATGATGATGATGATGATGACGATGATGATGATGCGGCGGATCAGGAGGACGCTGCTACTGCTACTGCTGAGGAGAGGGCGGAGGATGAGGATGAGGATGGGGATGAGGATGAGGATGAGGATGAGGATGAGGAGGAGGATGAGGATGCTGAGGAGGATGAGGAGGAGGAGGAGGCGGAGGAGGAGGGAGGGGTAGGAGGAGGAGGGGGAGGAAGAGGCGGCTGAGGAGGAGCTGGTGCGGCGGGACCCCCGCTGCACCCCCTGCCTTCGCGCGGCACCGCCCCGCGAGGATGGTTGCGCGCTCTTGAGCGAGATGCAGATTCAGCACCCGACAGCGAGCATGATCGCGCGCGCCGCCACGGCACAGGAGCGGTGGGCTCGCCGAGCTGGCTGGGGGTCAGGCCTCCCTCCTTCTCCTCCCCCTCCCTCCCTCCGTCTCCTCCTCCTCCTCCTCCTCCTCTTCCTCTTCTTCTTCCTCCTCCTCCTCCTCCTCCTCCCCCTCCTTGGGGGTGGGGGGTGGTGGTGGTGGGGGGGGGGGACGATCTCGGGTCTCCTTACCACCCTTTTCGGGTTCTCCGAGATCGAGCTGTTCCCAGAACAGCTCGACCTTTCTGAGCCCCGATGCCGAGACGGGGGGGGGACCAGGAAAGGGAGGACAGGATGGGGAACGCACCAGAAATTGGGGGCCATGGAAGGGCGAGGGGTGGGAATACAGAACAAGTGGAGAAACCAATGAAGGGGGGGGGGGGGGGGGGGGGGGGGGGGGCGACGGGAAACTGAGGGGGGGGGGGGTCGGAAGGGGTGGGTGGGAACCCAAGCACGGGGAGGGGACAACCCGCGAAAGGGCGGGGTGGGACCTAGAAGGGGGGTGTGTGAGGGGGTGTGTGTGTGACACCATGGAACAAGTATGGGCCACCCAGAAACGGAGCGGAGCTCGACCCCTGAGGGTCCCGACGGGGAGGGGGGATTGGGGGGGGGGGAGGGAGAGCTGGAAGCAGGACATTCCGTCCTCGCTACCTCTTCCGTCTTCCTTACTCCCTCTCTGGGGGAAGAGATGTGTTGCCACGCTGCGTTGCGGCTTAAAACCCAAACATGCCTTCGCGCGCTCCCGCTAACGCATGTTATGATGCTACCTTTTCCCGTACCTTTCTTCCTCTCTCTCTCTCTCTCTTCTTTCTTTCCTCGCCGTCTCCTGTCGTCAAGGTGCCCTCGGCTCCTAGGGGGAGATGTCCCGAAATGGAGGAGGAGGGGGATGATGATGATGATGATGATGATGATGATGATGATGATGATGATGATGATGATGATGATGATGATGATGGTGATGGTGATGGTGATGGTGATGGTGATGGTGATGGTGATGGTGATGATGATGATGATTATGATGATGATGCTGATGCTGATGCTGATGATGATGATGATGATGATGATGATACTGATCATCTCCAGAGCTTGCTCCCAGCTGAGTCCGCATTCTATATTGCTCTGTAGTGTAGCCTTTTTGGTTCTAGTCTTTTCTCCCTGCATGTGGGAGTCGCTTTCCACCTACCTTCCCCGACTGATAGACTTGTCTCTTCAGTCTGCCATCTCCGCCGCGGTCTGCGCGCGGCACGATACTGTGGTCAATCTCTCCTGTCCACCACCGCCTCCGACGCAGGTCGAGCTACGTTGCCCAGAGGTTCACGTCCCGCCGATCCACGTTGAGTGCTTGTCAGAGGGCAAGGGCATCGTCGGGCACCTGGCTTACCTGCTCGCTGGGCTCACCCTCTTCGGGACGGGCTGGCTCTGTGGGGCGCTGGTTGCCATACCAACGTGGGTGTGTGCCAGGAGGCGTACCTCTCAGGTCGAGCCTTCGGCCCAGGCTACTCAGCCCTCAGAGGCAGAGGGAAGTCTTCAGGACCTTGCTCAGAAGCAGCTCGCGCTGATCAAGACTCGGCGTCATGGCGAGAGTAGGTGATGTGCTGCTCGTCAAGTACAATGTGCCAGGTGCCGACCTCTGGCATGAGAGAATTGTGTTGGCGGTCCATCCTACCGAGGCGGGGCACTATTATATGTTGACCCCCGACGGGGATGCGTACATAGAGGATTGCTCGCCCGCCTCCGATGACGTCGACAGGATCCGTGGTGCTGCTGGTCTCGGGGATACTCCGCCTGCGCTGCAGAGTGCACCCATCTACCGATTCAGGGACGTGCCGACCGTGGATGATTTGCGTCAGCAGGTCCTCGATGCGGCGTTGGCCCTCGGGCTCGCGGCTCCTGGCGAGATACCACGGGTTCGCCGAGTGGGAGGAGAAGACCTGGTGCCTCGAGCAGGGCCTCCGCCCCCACAGGGGCTGGCTGACCCCCGGCCCCCCGGGCAGGGGGTCCAGGCGGCGGGCGTCGCCGTGCCGGCTCCTCGAGCGGACCTTGTGTGGGTGGCTGCTGAGGGCGCCGAGGACTTGGCGAAAGGCACTGAGGTCGAGATCACGGTTGACACTATCTCTGCGGGCGACAGGGCCATCATGCCATGGAAGGGAGGTTTCGTCGCGCTGCGGCAGATGACACGCCCCGAGGTGTATCGCTTCACCTACGATGACTTGCGTGTGCAGCCCGTGCAGTTCGACTCGAGTGGAGCGCGCAGGGTCACTGTCAGCGAGGGGGTGCAGCGGCAGGATGACACGCTGCCCGCGGGGGGACTGGATCTGCAGGGCCCGCGTGCGGCTTCCTGGTTCTGCCGGCACGTCGCAGAGAACGGACCGACGCCCCAGGCGGCCCATGAGGCTTGGCTGCGCAAGGCCAGGCTGCACGATGGCGACCGCGCCATCCACGAGCACTTCGTTCTGTCGCAGGTGCTCTCCGCCGCGGTGTGCCACGACCAGCTGAATGTGCCGGCTTTGAAGTCGATGGAGCTCGTCATCAGGAGGCTCCAGCTCATCAAGTCGGCCTACGCGCACTCCGCCTCCGCGCCTGACTTCTCAGGCGCAGACCACTTCATGGGCTGGGGGCCGGCCGCCGCCTCCGCGTCTGTCGCGCCGGAGTTGGCCGCCCATGTGGCTACCAAGTTCAGGGGCGAGGCCGCCATCCTCAAGGAGCCGCGGAAGGCTGCGGAGGAGCGTCGCGGACGTGGAGGCGGAGGCAAAGGAGGCAAGGGCGGTGGAGGCAGAGGAGGCAAAGCAGGGCTCGCCCCGGCCGACGGGGAGGGGGGCGGATGACCATGCTGCCTTTCGGCGCGCGGGCCTGGTCCACCCGCGGTGCTGTGCCAGAGGACCGAGCATCGGCAGATTTTGATCGGTATGTTGAGGCGAGTCGTCAGCGTGATTTGTTTCTTCTGCCAGCCGTCGATGTTGATGAGCGCCCTGATCCCGGGCTTTCTGCCACCGTCTTCAAGAGTATGTCGAGGAGACGTTCGAGGCAGCTGCTCGCCAACGGGGTCGTTGAGACGCTCAATGTTTTGGCTTCTCCGGCCGCCATCTCTTCCTTCAGGCCCACGGCTGCTCACCGTGCTGCCCATGGCCAAATTTTGTCTACGTTGGCGGCAGGGCCTACTTGCACATCCTTGTGCAAAGACCGTGAAGCCCTCCAGGCGCTTTGTGGATCGGAGTTCTCCTATGCTGGGGGGGATTCCAGTTGCAGCGTGGAGCCGTATGATCGAGGCCGGGTCTCGATGCCAGCTGCGGGGGCCTCGCCTCCGTGGCTAACAGATGTCATCGACGACTCCGGCAGAGGCGTAGTCGACGGCTTCACCGCCGCGATGCTCCGCTCGCCCGTCGAGATGGGAGCCATCATGGACCAGCAGGCGCATATTAAGCCCTACATGGACGTGAGGCTCAAGAGGGGCAGGTTGCTATACTACCAGTTCGTCCGCGACCTATTCGAGTCCAATCTTGTGGATTTCGGGGCGGGCGCTTTCGAGACCGTGTACCCGTTCTTCGTGCGCAAGAAGTCGGGCAAGCAGCGGCTCGCGTGGGACTGCCGGGTGGCCAACATCCGCTGGCGCAGTCCGCCCAAGATCCGCATGGCGAGTGGCTCGGCGTTCGCAGGTTTGCAGATCCCGCCGGAGCTGCAGGGGCATGGCATGTGGGGTGCCGGCTCCGACATCGCGGACTACTTCTTCTGGCTCGCCATGCCGCCTGACCTGCGGCCCTTCTTTGCGCTGCCGCCTGTGCCAGGCGCTCTGTTGCTCGAGTGGGGTGTCCCCGCTGACTTGGGCGGAACACTCCATGGCCTTTTAGAGGTCAGACCTCGCCTTCGCTCCGTGCCGATGGGCTGGGCCTGGGCGATGTGGCTGGCGCAGCGTGTGCACATACATCAGATCTGTCTTGCGTTGCCCTGGGAGCCCTCGAGACTCATGGAGGAGGGGGCCCTCTTCCTGAATGGCGCTCGGATCTCCCAGTTCTGAATGTGTATTGTGACAACTTGATGGTTCTCGCCACGAGCCCCAAGATGGCTAGGGAGACTCGGGATGCCGTCATTGTCCAGCTCGTCAAGTCAGGCTTTGTCGTCCACGAGGTTTTCGGTCCCGTTAGGCAGTTCACCGCTCTGGGATACTACATCGACGGGGAGGCTATGAAGGTCTGGGTCGATCCGATGCGCAGGGAGCGAATTGCTGCCGCCGCCCGAGCTCTGTCGAGAAGGCCTCGGACCACAGGTTTGGCGTTGAGTCGGTTCATCGGTCATTGCATCGCCGCTTTCCTCATCTTCCGCCCTGGGCTCTCGGTATTTAGGCGCATGTATGACTTCGCTGCTAAGTTGGGGGCTGCTCCAGGTCGTCTCTGGGCTGAGGCCGCTCACGGGGCTCGTCAGGTGTCGTATCTCATCCAGGTCACCATGTCGGATCTCTGCCTGGAGTGGTCGGAGAGGGTCCTCGCTACCGATGCGTGTCTTTCGGGGTTTGCCGTTGCCGCTACGCGCTGGCCTCAGGAGGTCATCAAGGATTACGGGTCCGTGCGGGGGAAGTGGAGGTATCGGGGCCGTCTGCCGTCTGCGACTGCACCTCGCGATGCTGCCCTGCCTGCTTTCGGCGACCCGTTCAGCGACATCAACACCGTAAAGACCATTGCCGAGCCGAAGACGATTTCGACGTACGAGCCGAACCCCGATTCCGCCGAGATCGACCCGGGATACCTCAGGAAGGAAGACTGGAAGCTACAATATGCCTCAAGGTTCCGTGGTCGTGATGGCCCTATCTCAGTACTAGAGAGTGTCGGTATGGCCTCTGGGGTTCGTCATACTACGAGGGGCCTCTATGGGTTTCGAAGGCGACACCTCCTACTAGGGGACAACCTGGGCACTGTGCTGGCTATGGAGAAGGGCAGGTCGTCGTCGTTCTCTCTCAACAAGTCATGCCGCAAGACCGCAGCCTTTTCAGTGGCTTCGGGGTCGCTTTAC